CAGTCCTAGAGACTTAGGTGGACATTTAGTCCTGACTCTTGAGAGACCTGCTCTTGTCCTGGTATCCCACAGACGATTAAGGTACTGGCTAAAATGAGGTTTATGGATTTTCTTGGTTACCCTCATGTTCAATGGCATTTCATTAATCACAAGGGTTAGTTTTAAATTAAGGGGTGAAATGTTTACATGGTGGAGGCCTCACAGGAATCAGGCACAGCCCCTCCTCTTCTCACATGTCACCCCTTGTAGAGTGGAGCTCGGGTCAGAAGCATCTGCACTTGCTGCCTCCCCCTCTCGCCCAGGTGCTCAGAGTGGGCGGTGTGGGTCAAGTGCACTCATGACATCATTCCCCCGTGCTCTTGTGACTCCTTGAAGTGTTGGTGGGTTCTAGGAAAGGAATGTCCATGGAGGGAGCAGGATGCCTGGGTCACTGTTAACAGCTGTTTTGAACTTATTACAGCGTGACTGGGAAATTTCAGGAGACAGCCTGGAGAACTGTATTCATGATGGGAACTGAGGCACTTGGGGTTATACACACATAAAGTTTTTTTTGGTCTGTTTCGACTGACAAATGTTTCCTTGGGAGCCACTGAACCACCTTGCCCAGAAGAATATGAAAATTATTGAATCTGGGATGAAGTTTGGATTTAGGTGGATAGTAGGAGGCATTTGTCACTGATTTAAAATTTCTGTTTAGTCATTTGAAGATTTTTAAGATGAAAATCTTGTGTAAATTGATTTCCCAAAGTGAGTTAACAAGGGAGGAGCCTTCATTTCTCCATCACCCTCCCTCTGTTTTTTACCGTAGATATTTTTGCATCATTGCATAGTAGAGAGGACGGCTTTGAAAGTCAGTGAATGAATATTTGTAGTTTTCAGATGACAGAATCCTTGTTCCTACCTCACTAGGCCTCATGGCAGCCCTGTGGGTCAGGGCCTCTCACTTATGGCTTCATGGGTTTTCTGCATTAGGATTGAAATTAATTTGTTATCTTTATTCTGTAAGTGAAAACTTGAGCTTTAAGGAGATTAACTAATTTAAATTGAGCTGTGTAGCTTAAGCCGTGAATGAATCGGGTTTCAAACCCAGACCCCAGTTTGACTAGAGAGAGAGAGAGAGAGAGAGAGAGAGAGAGAGAGATATCATCTGGAATTGAGGGAGCATGAACTCTCACATTCAGATGTGTAGAAAGAAGACATCAGCTCTGTGGAAATATCTGTGAAATCCACTATATTAGGTGATGGTGATTGATACAAAGTCTTACTGTATAGTCCAGGCTGGCCTTGATCTCTCTTCCCACCTCAGACTTCCAAGTGCTGAGGTTACAGGCGTGTGCCACTCTGTCCAGCTTGATTAGATCGTAATGTTAGTAATAAACAGGTGTTCCTTGCTTGACCTTCAAATCAAGGTAGATTGAGTAGTAGGTGACTGGTTCTGTATATTTTCAGGATGCTTGTAAAGTGTGACTGATACTCAGAGCCAGTAGAGCGACAAGGACAGTTTCCAGGATGAGGTGGCTTTGGAGCTGAGGGATGGAATGCAAGCATGGTTATTTCTGTATCTAGTATGGAGCCAGCCCCACCAGCCTCGTGATCGGAAACTCTCTGCCCATACAGGGGCTCATCTTACGTTTGGGCTGTAGCTCCGTGGATTATGTATCTGCTGGTTTCTGGGGCCGTGTTCTGGTCCTTTTCCAGAGGAGGTAATTCTACCCTGCTGAGCTCCAGTGGACCAAATTGTAGGAGCCTGGACACAGAGTTCTTCCCTTTGCAGTAAATGAATCAGAACCCTGGAGTGCTTAGCGCAGTCTGTGATCCTTGAGTGGACAGATCAATGAAAGCTGCCACTACTGCATTTCCCAGACAAGAGTTTGTGACTCTTAGCCTTAGAAGTGACTCTAAGGGGTTGTCTTGTAAGACTGCTGGTCTTCTGAGTGAGGCCAGCCTTGCTGAGCAGTTCAGCTAGCAGGCAGGTTTTCCTTACACCAGAGTATGCCAAACCTCATAGAATGGGTCTGTCCCCTCCCCTGGGACCCCTTCAGAACTTGTTTGGTATTTGCGGACACTCAGCTTGGCAACAGTTTTGCCAGCTTTGGACCACAGGCTAGGGTGAGAAACAACAGATTTTGATTGGAATCGGCTTAAACTTCAGCCCTGGAACCAATTCTTTGAGAGACAGCAGTTGAAGGTGGGAACTTGGAGATATGCCGGATCATAAGTTCACCTCTGGGTGCTGTCTGTTGAGGGTTGTGGACTGTAACAGATGCTTTTGTGAGGGTTGAGCAGAGCGATAAAGATGTTGGATCTGAGGGTTGATCCCATCATAGGAAATGGGTGTTTGAGGAGAGACTTGCTGCCCTAAGAGATGGTCAGACCCTGGGGATGGATGGGTAAAGTTGAGTGAGGAAATGGGTGTTGGCCTAATGGGAGGAGGAATTTCAGCATACTAGGGTGAAGGTGTCCTGTGCCAAGGAGGTAATTTTATCCTATTAGTGATACCTGATGAGAAGTTTAGAAGGATCTTGGAGCATTGTTTAGGTATGCTCTCTTCCAGACTCTGTAGCTTTCAGTTGCACAGTAAATTTCTTCCCAGACAAGCAGAGGCCTGGGCTGGAGACCTGGTCTGTCTATCTGTATATGTGTGCTGTTTTGTTGGGTGGAGAGCTAGCCACTGTCAAAGAGTTCCCAGCCATTCTTCTAGTTTCTGTAGAAAGCAGTGACTAGGGTGGTTACAGTTCAGTTGGAATTTTATAGGACTCTTAGATCCCAGCACAAAATGTAATCATTTGAGAATTCAAAAGGCCCACACTGCAGGCATCTGAGTTCATCTGGGGGTCAGTCACAAAATGCTTTCTTGCGGCACAATTAAAAAAAAAATTTTATTATTTTAATTTTATGTATACGAGTATATTGTCTGCATGTATGTGAGCTGCACCCGTGTCATGCGATGCTGCAGAGGTCAGAAGAGGGTTTCAGATTCCCCTGGAACTGGAGTTAAGGACAGTTCTTAGCCGCCATGTGGGTGCTGGGAATCGAACCCGGGTCCTCTGCAAGAGCAGTCAGTGCTCTTAACCGCTGAGCCATCTCCCCAGCCTCTCTTGTGGCACAGTTTATATCTTGGTATTTGGCAAATTTTTTTTTTAATGAGTTGTTTTTTGTTGTTGTTGTTTTGAGACAGGGTCTCCCTGTAGCCCCGAGCTGTCCTGGAACTCACTATGTAGAACAGGCTGGCCTCAAACTCACAAAGATACCCTGCCTCTGCCTCCCAAGTACTGGGATTAAAGGCGTGTGCCACCACGCCCAGCTTGAGTTTTTTTTTTTTAATATTTTATTTATTATTTTATGTGTATGCATGTATTGCCTGCATGTAGGTAAGTGCAGCTGTGCCATGCAATGCCCGTGGAGGACAGAAGAGGCTGTCGATCCCCTGGAACTGGAGTTACAGACAGTTGTTAGCTGCTATGTGGGTGCTGGAATTTGAACCTGGCTCTTCTGCAAGAACAACCAGTGTCCTTAACTGCTGAGCCATCTCTCCAGCCCGGTATTTGGCAATTTTTGAAGTCCTGTGTAAATATATGTGTGTTGGCAAGGGGTAGTAGAGATTTTCTGACTTTTTTTGAACAATGGTGCAGTGACAACGTTTAAAATCAAGCAACCTAGGATTTTTTTTTTTTTTTAAAAGCAAGTGTTGCCAAATTTAAAAACAAAAAACAAGTCAAGGTAAGGAACCAAAAGCACCTTTTAATTAGATCATGAATTGTGAAATATTCATGTACCTCAGACTTTCTGCACGGGGGGTCTGTTGAGATCCACAGGGTGGGGAGAGGGTAGGTGAGGGCTACAGTTGGGAAAGGCAGGAAAAGAAGGTCAGTTGTTTGTGCTCAGCTGACGGCTCTAGAGTGTGGATGAGGCCATTGGCATGTGCTTTCTTCATGGTGCTTGTGTTGAAAGATCGCAGCAACTTGAGGGGAGGAACAGTGATTACTTGAGACCCTCCCTGCCCTGGCTCATGGTGCCTCCTTTTCCCATCAACCCCCAGGAGCAAGTCTTCTCCCTCCTCCTTTTTGAGGAGTCCTTTGAACTAATGATCTGATGTCTTTTCCACAAAGGAATATTGATAAGTGCGTGCACGGACAGTAGGGAGTACTGGATTAGCCCGTTTTCATCCCAGTGACAAGCCAGTGTGACATTTGTTTCGAGAGCTTACCCCTGTGTGACTGTAGGTGGCACGCATAATTTAAAGGGAATACATTTTTCTGAGGAAGATTTCTTTGGGTTCTGTAGAAAAATTAAGGAAAGCCTGTCCCCCAGTTTCCATGTGATTAGGAATTCAGAGTAAGCTACGTGACTGCGTGCCCCACGCAGCAACATTCCCAGAGGGTGGCAGCACCCGTGGCAGGAGGGTGATGGGTGCAATGGCTTCTGCTTTGGGTTTACAGCTTGGGACCCGAGAACCAACCAAGTGATCTGAGCAGCACCAAAGATCAATGTGTTAGGCCTCGTCGTCTGCAGTGCCTGGCTCAGCGGATGAGTAATTGTGATACTGAAGTAATCTGGGTCCTCCTGCCCCTCTTGCATCTTGGTGATCTCATTGAGATGGTCTGACATTTTGCTTCCGATGCCAGTTGCTAGAGTGAGGCTGACATTTTGTATTTTGCTTTATTTTCTTACAAACAACTTGTTCTGCTGTGGAGCTCTGACATAGCACAGAGCCCCTTGTAAATGCTTCTCGTGTGAGCTTTGTAGATGTACTGTTCTTGGTGACAGTTTCCTTTCATCCAGGAAGACTCTCGGGTTTGGCCTGCCACTGGCATTTTTGTAGGGTGCATCACACGACACACGGAGAACAGGATCACCTTGGCGGCGGAGGGGAGCGGTTCCTCAGAATTCCATATTTTCTACCAGTAACCCCCTAAGCAATGCTGGCGACCTAAGAGCCTGTAGGAGCAATGTGTTTATAGTGACTACGTCCTTACGCTATATTATAATTTCTCTTTTAGGTTTATTTTCTTGAGAAGGCTCCAGGCTTCGGCTTGGAAAATCCAGCCGCCACCATTGAGCCCAGCAGCTGGAGCGGCAGCGAGAGCCCTGCCGAAAACTTGGAAAGGATGAGCGACTCGGCAGATAAGCCGATTGACAACGATGCAGAGGGGGTCTGGAGCCCCGACATTGAGCAGAGCTTTCAGGAGGCCTTGGCTATCTACCCGCCGTGTGGGAGGAGGAAAATCATCTTATCAGACGAAGGCAAAATGTATGGTAAGTAGCCTGGAACACTCCTTTCAGAGATTGCAACATGCCGTGGTGGGAAGGGATGTTTAGCTACCCCTCTGGAGAGAGATGATCTTAGTAGAATGACAGTCGCTCATCTAGGGAACATCGTTAAAGGACATGAGGCTCTTCCATGGGCTTTCCTCCTCCTGTGTGATTGACAGTACTTCCGGCGGACGCTCTCCAAGTCTAGGTGTCACAGTGACACGTGCAGCTGAGGACCAGTTCTTCCGCTCATGGCCTCCGTCTTAAGGGAGCGTTATCACTTAGCTTTGTATAAATGGTGTCAGGAGGGAACGTGACCTGCTGTTGCCAAGTTTCTTGAATCCCTTTCACTCTAGCAGGAAGAGCCTGTAGTACAGATTTGTATAGGAAATATAAGAAATTTGTATATGAAATCTACTCTTTTTAAGGGCTGGGAAGTGGCCCAGTTGATAAGAGTATTTGCCTAACATGAACAAGCCCTGGGTTTAATGCACAGCACTGCGGAAACTGGGCTTGGAGGTATACACCCTGTAATCTCTGCACTTGGAAAGTAGAGGCTCGAGGACCAGAAGTTCAGACTCATCCTCAGCTACATAGAGAATTTGAGGCCAGCCTGGACTACATGAGACCCTGTTCAACACTACTACCCCCCACTTTCCAATAAAATCTCAAGCCACCCTCCCCTTTAAAACAACCTTGTACTGTCCAGATAAAACATAGACACGAACTTGCTCAGCCTCCTCAGCCACTAGGTTCAGCTTTGCTTTCAGCTTGCAGATGAATGGCCAGCTGAGACACTGCCCTTTCCTACTCCAGCCTCCCCGTCTGCAGGCCAGTGTCCTGCTTGGGTTCAGAAAGAAACTACATTAGGGTGAGAAGGGCAAGGCCAGCTTATCGTGTGGCTCAGGAGGTCATCAGGAACCGTAGGTGCCTATGTACCTAGCTAGTATGAGGCTGGCCACAGCAGGTTGTTCCTCTTCCTTCGGTGAACACGTCCAGCTGTAGACCTGCACTTTTTAAAAGGCTGCTTACCTTTCGGGAAGCAGATGGCAGGTGGTTGTTTGTATGGAGTGCTTGTCTAATTGAGTTGACAGAGTTTGCACTGTCTAAAGAGATGAAAACAGCTAAATTCCAAGAACACAGAATCAGCAACTACCTGAGACTGATAACTTATTACAGGAGTGATTTATTTCTCAGTAATTCTGCACTCTCTTCTGTAATAGGGTGTTGTACCTTTAACCCTGAGCTGCTCTCTCTGGAGCTGGAGGAGGCCGCAGCTCAGATCTGCACAGGCGGCTGAGTGGAAAGCAGATGGTGGTGCAGCTGCCACCAGCTGTGCCCCGCCTGCCCTCCCCATCCATCTTGGATGATGTGAAGGAAACAAGGACACTTGCTTTCTGCTGCATTGAGCCTTTCAGCCTGTCATGCATGCAGAGTGAGACCCCAAATCTGTGGCATTTGTTTAAGGCTCTTGTAAAATCTGCTAGAGCCAAAGAGTCCTTTGTATCTAGGGCAGTGGAGGCAGCTGCTGTGAGTGGACAGGGCGTTTGGTGCCTTGATTTCCTTCCTTTGCATCACTTCCTCAGCCTGCCTGTTCTTCAAGATTTTCTTTGAACATGACTTTGTGACATGTCATGAAGGGTGGTTCTGAGATGCTGCCTGGCACAACTATCAGTTGTACACTTGGAAATTGTTTTAATCTAAAATAATGGCATAAGCCAAGTGTAGCGGTGCACACCTTTAATCCCTGCACTTGGGAGGCAGAGACAGGTGGAGCTCTGTGAGATTGAGGCCAGCCTGGTCTGCATAGTGAGGTCCAGGCCAGCTGGGGCTACAGGGAGACCCTGTTCCCAAAAGACCAAAAAAAAAAAAAAAAGGAAAAAATAGACGCCATGCAAATAAAGATGGTGTGGGGCAGGCCAACCTGCCTGGGGGTAACCATGACTTTCATAGTAGTGTAGCACTACGCTTCCGGAATGAGGTTTCAGGGCTAGGAACATAATTCAGAGTGACAGTTAATTTTTGTCAACTCTACTTTTGTTCACAATTGAGATTTTTCTTTGTTGATAGCCATGATATCTCTGATCAATATGGCAATAAGATTTTTTTAATGTAAAAATGGTTGTATACATACTTTCGTTGGAAATGAAGTCTTAGAGCAGGCTAGGCGTGGGACAGGAGGAAGCTCTGAATTTGAGTTCAACAGTTTTGCCCTGAATATTGGTGTCAGTTTTTTGGTTCCTGGAGAGATGGTAAAGGGGATGATGTCCATGGGTCCTTGGGGACTTGCTGTGTTGTGATGCTGTGGTTGCAGGACCTCTGACTCCAAAGGGTAATGGGTTATTGGCAGGTATGGTGTGGGCTGTGGGGCTGGTAACTCAGATTCTGAGCACTTCCCTGGTGTTTTGGGTCTGGTTTTCTTTTTCTTTCTCAACACCATCCAATTACTGACTATTGGTGGCCTGGTGGCTGGCCTGATTTAAAATGAGGCAGTCCTTTCAAGTGAGCAGCACCAGGAATTACAGCTCGGGAAGAACAGTCTAGAACTGGCTGTGTGTTTCAGAAGGCAGACTGTTCAACCTATAGGATTTTGTTTCTTGATTGGGGAACAAAAGAATTTTGCAGTACCTCATCTTTCCAGGGGAGGGGAGGGTTCTCCCCCCCCAACCTGCTCCTCTTTCCTCCATGACAGAATGCCTGCTGCTACCTTGAAGGGAGTGGCATAGTTACTTGGCTGGGTGAGGCAGAGACTGGACCCCTTCAGAGGAACAGCCTTAGGTGTCTTCAAGCTGCCTCTGCCCTGCCAGGATTATGAGATGAGAAAGAAAGTTGATTTTCCACAGTGAAGCCCCAGCCACTTGGAGATTGAGTCACGTGAACCAACATGGAGCCGGATGTTGCCTATGACCAGGTGTTGCCTGTCACATGTACATGAATGGGAACACGAGCCAGACTCTACTAGGAATCAGCAGTCTTAAGAGCATCCTTTTTCTCTAAGGGTTTTCGTTAATGAGTATTTAGGATTCCACACAGTCAGTCAAAATAAAGTCTAAATGCAACACCTAGTGCTTTTCCCTTTAAGGGGCCATTCCAATATTTCTGAGCTTTTGCAGAGTTCTTTGTGACATCACTAATCCTGAGCCATTGGAGAAGCAAGGTCCAGTGATTTATTTTGGTAGTGAAAAGTCCTGCCTGTCTGTGTTTGGCAGGTGTATGGATGCAATGTCAGGGAAAAGGTGGAAGGCTCTTTATGATTTGCTTTTTCTGTGTTACCCCGGTCTTCAGAGCAGCTGGCCTCTGTGGCTAGATGGCTTCTTCCCTGGGCTCTGTACTCTAGCAGTTGTTTTAGGAATTTCTGGGAGGAAGATGGACCTTTTCTAACTGTGTTCTGTCAGTACACAGGCTCTTCCTATGGCCCGCCTTTCTCTTTCATTTCGTCTTATTTTTGCATAGCTGTGTGTTTCTTTTTCTGGTAGGTAGTGAGGGAGGATGGGAGGAGAGGAAAGTTCTCAGTCAACACACTTCTCTGAAATTGGATTTCAGGGGAGCAGGCCATAGTTGAAAACAAGACAAAACAGAACAGTGACCTATGGGAATACTTTCATCTTTTTCTTTTGTAACTGAAGACTTCAGTCTTGCAATGTGGTCAGGTGTCCCCAGAATCCTACAAGGGTTGGGACAGAAACCAGTTTTCAGTGATTGTTGGCCCTTGAGGCAGACAGGTGCAGCACTTAACAGTTTGGACTTGGTAATTAATACGAATCCTGGCCCTGCACTTTTATATCTCAGGCTTCCGGCAAGTTGCCTTAGTTCTCAGTGTCTCCCATCCCTTCACTTCGAAGGACGAGAGTCAAGTAGATCCAACTTTGTAGGATTGTCACAAAAATTAAATGAAGCAGTTGTGATCTGGGATTGCCCACCATGCTTGAGCGACATCTGGCATGGAGTTGAGGAGTAAATAAGTCTTTATGAACAGAAAACAAAGTGGATCTCTCTGCCTTGTGCTCTGCTACAGGCTTGACACATAAATTTCCAGCTAACCTACCCAACAGCACTCTGAGTTGGGTACTGTTTTCTTCGCTTATAGATGGGGGGACTGGGCTGGGAGAGGTACTGTGCTTATATGTGGCTCCTGTAGGTGGTGTAGCAGGAAAGTTTCAAATGCTGGTCTGCCTCACTCTGGAACCATGGCCCCCTGCTGTGATTTTGTTCTTTTCTTTGTGGAAGCCATTGTACATTAATTCAGCAGATCAGTGTTGCATACCACCTGTATGCCAGCCCCATGCCCGGGGTTGCCAGGGTGACAGCAGTGAACCAGACAGACGTGGGCAGAGTCCCTGCGTCATAGAGGTGTCACAGGCTCATTTGTCAGCAGCTGACCTGAGGTCAAGGCTGGGTGTCAGAGATTTCTGGGAAGTCTGAGGACTCTTTGAAGATGGTCACCTTCCACTTAGCCTTTTGAAGCCTGTTTTTGGCTACCAAAGCTCAGGACACCTGGCCTGTTGCTGGTAGAAAGAGAACATCTCAGATAACATAGCAGGGAGTGTCCAGATCACAAGGCTGGCCCCAATGGTGGCCAGGAAGATGTCTGAAAGGTTCTAGTGTCCTAGGATGCTGAAGACCCCCAAAAATAAAAAAAACAGAGCCACTGCTAGGCAGTGACTTTCTTCTATGGGCAGATGCCTCTAGGATCCTTGTCAAAGACAGCTCTGGGGAGGAAACACCTTTTTTCTTTTCTTTCTTTCTTTTTTTTTTTTTGGTACTAGGGATCAAACTAAGGGCCTCATGCATGCAGCACACTCTACAATCTGAGCTGTATCACCAGTTGGGAGGAGCCTTTTCTTGTTCGATGCCAAGCGTACTGGTCAGTCATGGAGAGCTAGATCATGAGGACTGGGATGCCTTTTCTTTGTCCCTCTCTTTGGTTGGTGACCTGTGCCTTGCTAGCCAGGAGCAGGCCTTGGAATTGCCTGTTGCCTGGTTTTACATGAGGAAGGGGCTTG